TCTCTGATGTAAGGGTTAACATTTGAAAATTAACATATTTTCAGTACATTTGGAGATATTCTATGGAATGATAGCATAGTATACACGTGTGGAGAGCAATGTATTTGTAATGAAATTTACTTCTGGTATAAAATGGTATAATCCATAGATTTGCATTTGGAGAGCATGTTGAACTATGCATTAATATGCATGTGGAAAACAGTGTATTTTCAGCACATTTGAAGATATAACAAGAGGTAATATATACGAAGTAAGTATGCATTGAAAGAGCAGTATAGATTTACAGAAGAACTTCAGATACATTTTGGTGTAATACAGCACAAATGCATACTTTTGAAAGCAATGTGTACAAGTGCGATCGATCAGAGAGTTATCGCCCTTCGATTCGTACCCAACAGGAAACAACAATCATGGCGAGTGACACAGTGCCCGCAAGAAATGCTCTTATTATAGCTGGACTGACATTCGGCCTGGGTGTGTTGGTGGGATACAAGATCAAGACATATAGACTCAGGTATCTACAATGGAAGAAAAAAAAGCTTCTCAACCAACTCAACAAAACATGTGAAGACATTAATGTGGCATCATCATGATCTGATGTAATATTCAGTGCCGGCGTGAAAGTTTTGTATGTGAAGGGAGGCAACTCTCGAGGCACGTTGTCTCGAAGAAAGAGGTGTATTATATTGCTTGATGTTGGGATATGAATTTAAAATATACATTTACTGTTTCTGAAGCCTGTTTTAAATACATCTAAAGTGAAATAAGAGACGCATGAGTACCTTAAAACCAATCTGAATGAACGGAACACTTCANGCAGAGATGAATGAAATGATCCCCCCCCCCCCCACCCGGGCCCCCTTGTGATACCAATCACATACCATTGAATATTATGGTACTGTGATAAATGACGATTGAACTAGGCCATTTCCCTAGCGCGACGATACCACATCAGACAATATGGTAAAGTGATGACGGAGGCTGAACTATTTCAAGGACCTTTTCCAATTTCTTTTTGAATATTATCAAACTATTAATCCATGATTCATATTTAAATTTGGAAAGTGAATATGGCCTTGGTGCATTGTTCTGTTAATCTGTCCCCGGACACGCAGTGGATGCCATCCTGGATTGAAATTTGGAGCATATGTGACTCTGGCTCTTTTTTCACTCTATGACCCAAAATCATAGGACAGAACTATCAAAATTTAGAATTTCAATATTTGATTAATTTTCCTTATTATTACATTCATTAAGTAACAAAGTTTCAGAAAAACAACATCAGAAGATAATGATCTTCCATGCATTTATCTGGATGAGTCCATTATGGTCTACAGTGGTGAAAGGGATTTAGTTAAAAATGTCCACTTGAATCTTGTGACTTTTATATGATAATATATGTGATCAATAATTGATGAGATATATTTCGAGTAAGGCTGGTGTTTTATGACATGATGCTATTTTAGGTATGTAACCATTTATGGAAATAAAACAAAATGCTCAATAGGCCTGTGTCACTCACCTGTTGCCCAGTATTCAACGCTTTTCGAGAACACAATTCACATTTGTGACCTTTAGAATGCACTAAAATTAATGTTTTTCAAAAAATAATTTTGATAGTAAGAAAGCTTACACACCTGTATGTATACATAATGTTATTAATCCTTTTAGTTAATTTTTAAGATTTATTCTCCATTGAGTTGATATTGTTAAACATATCCCTCATTGAGTTAACTAAATATAGATCCATTTCCTTCTGAGTTTGATTTCATATCTAAATGTATCCTTCATCAAGTTGATTTTATATAGAGATATTCCCTGTTGATTTTATATAGAGATATTCCCTGTTGATTTTATATAGAGATATTCCCTGTTGAGTAAGTTTTATGTAATGATATCTGCTGTTGATTTGAATTTTGATTTGATAAAGATATATCCCCCTATGAGTCGATTTCATACTTCGATATAAACATCATTGAGTTAATTTTAATATAAAGATATCCCCAATTGAGTTGATTTTTATATAGATACATCCACCATTGAGTTAATTTTTATATAGATACATCCACCATTGAGTTAATTTTTATATAGATACATCCACCATTGAGTTGATTCAATATCTAGATATATCCCCATTGAACTGAACTTATGATATATCCACCACATTGAGTTGATGATACATAGATATATCCCCTAGTACTGAATTGATTTCATAACTAGGAATATCTTCCATTGGGTTGATTTTATAAATATATCCCCGTATTGAGTTGATTTTTTATTAGGATTTATCCCCCACTGAATTGTTTTATTAGATATATTCCTAATTGAGTTGTTTTTATTTTGATATACCCCTCTTATATTAATTAATTAGATATACACCCCCCCCCCCCCCCATGCTGGGATGAAGGACTACCAAGTTTGTTCAAATGAATGACCTTGACCCACTTGCAAGGTCACAGGGGTTCAATGTCGTAAAATCTTCAAACCACTTCTCAATAACCAAAAGGTCCAGAGTACTGATATTGGGCCTGTAGCATGCTGGGATGAAGGGGTACCAAGTTTGTTCAAATGAATGACCTTGACCCACTTTCAACCTAATGTCCCTGTTCGACATTCAAGGTCACAGGCATCATATGTTTAAATCTTTTAATAGGTTCTTATGAATCAAACACTGATATTCTGCCTGTAGCTGTATTTTAGTCCACTTTTAAGATTAAAAGTGTGAGATTAATACCAGGTGAGCGATGCAGGCCCATTGGGCCTCTTGTTTTTTAGAGATATCCTCCATGAGGCGATTTCATATATAGATATATACTCCATTGAGTTCATTTTATAGATATTTACCCTTTAAGTTGATTTTGTATCTAGAGATATCACCCATTGAGTTGATTTTATATCTAGATATATCTCCCATGGAGTTGAGTTCATATCTAGATATAACCTCATGGAGTTGATTTCTTTTAAAATATATCCCTGTTGAGATGATTTTATAGATATACCACCCCTTCCTAGTTGATTTTATATAGGTATATCCCTCGTTGAGATTGTTTAAAGATATATGCTTCTTTGAATTGATTTCATATCTAGATATATCTCCCATTGAGTTGATTTTATAAACAATCCCCCTTGATACGTTTTTATCTAGGTAAATAAAATAGATATCATCTGTTGAGTTGATTTCATATCATGATATATTCCAATAGCGTTGATTTCATATATTATATCTCCTATGGATTTGATTTTATATCAAGTATCCCCATTGAGTTGATTTTATATAAAGTGTCATCGTCTGAGTTGTTTTTATATAGAGTATGTCCCATTGAGTTTATTTTATATCAATATATAATCTCCATTGAGTTGATTTTATATAGAGCTATCCCCCATTGATTTGATTTCATATACATTTTCTCCATTGAGTTGATTTTATATAAAGAGTCATCCACTGAGTTGTTTTTAGCTCACCTGCCCTAAGGCATCAACTTTTTACTTTGAACAACTTCTTTTCAGTAACCAAAAGGCCTAGGATGATGATACTTGGCCAGTACCATGCTGGGATGAAGAGCTACCAAGTTTGTTCAAACAAATGACCTTCATCCATTTTCAAGGTCACAGGGGTCGAATATGTTAAAATCTTTGAACGACTTCTGAATAACCAAGAGGCCTAGCTAAGGTGATGATATTTGGCCAGTAACATGCTGGGATGAAGGGCTACCAAGTTTGTTCAAACAAATGACCTTCATCCATTTTCAAGGTCGCAGAGGTCAAATATGTTAAAATCGTTGAGCGACTTCTGAATAACCAAGAGGCCTAGGGTGATGATATTTGGCCAGTAGCATGCTGGGATGAAGGGCTACCAAGTTTGTTAAAACAAATGACCTTCCTCCATTTTCAAGGTCGCAGAGGTCAAATATGTTAAATTCGTTGAACGACTTCTGAATAACCAAGAGGCCTAGCTAAGGTGATGATAATTGGCCAGTAACATGCTGGGTTGAAGGACACCAAGTTTGTTCAAACAAATGACCTTCACCCATTTTCAAGGTCGCAGAGGTCAAATATGTTAAAATCGTTGAGCGACTTCTGAATAACCAAGATGCCTAGGGTTATGATATTTTGCCAGTTAGATGCTGGGATGAAGGGCTACCAAGTTTGTTCAAACAAATGACCTTCACCCATTTTCAAGGTCACATGGGTCAAATATGTTAAAATCTTTGAACGACTTCTGAATAACCAAGATGCCTAGGGTGATGATATTTGGCCAGTAACATGCTGGGTTGAAGGACACCAAGTTTGTTCAAACAAATGACCTTCATCCATTTTCAAGGTCAGAGGGGTCAAACATGTTTAAAACTTGTAAACAACTTCTTCTGAATACCCAAGAGGCATAGGATAATGCTCAAATATGTTTAAATCTGTAAATGACTTGTTCTGAATATTCAAAAAGTCCAGGGTAATGATATTTTGCCAGATGACGGAAGGCTATACACCTTGTTCAACTTAATGTCCTTGTTTGACTTTCAAGGTCACAGGCGTCATGCGTTTAAATCATTTAATAAATTCTAATGAATCGAACACATATATTTTGCCTGTAGCTGTACATTAGTCCACTTTTAAGATTACAAGTGTGAGATTAATACCAGGTGAACGGTTCAGGCCCATTGGGCCTCTTGTTATACAGAGTATCTCCCATTGATTTGATTTAATATACATTTTCTCCATTGAGTTGATTTTATATTGATATATCCACAATTGATTTTATTTTTATAGGTTTATCCCCCACTGAGTCGATTTCATATCTTGATATTTGACTTCCAATTGAGTTAATTTTATATATCCTTCATTGAAATGAATTCATATAGCGATATCCTCTGTCAAGATGATTATATATATCCTCCATCAAGTTGTTTTTTTATAGAGCTATATCCTCCAGTGAGTCAATTTTATATCGAGATATCCTCCATATCTATTTTTAGAGATATCCCCCCCCCCCCCCTGCTACTGAATTTGGTTTACGACGATTTGAAAAAGATATAAAAAAAATAAGTGTACTTCATGTCAGTCTTTGGTGTCATATCTAAAATGCAAGGTGCTGTTTCAGGAGAAAAGAATAAATGCGTTCAATTTCAAGAATATTCTTTTATTCAGTAAACAAGCATACAACATTCATATACATGTAGCACGGAGAGTTTTTGCCAAAGAAAAAACTCAAAAGAAACGTATGTACATGAAAACATAAGTTATTTTTATTTAAATAAAACGTTCAATCTTCGAGACATTTAACGTTTCTTATCAACGTCAATTATATACAAACGAAATTGAATTTACAAAGGGCAAACAGACTTTTACTCCAGCAATCGGAAACCGTCGACACGGTCGGTAAGCGAGAAAATATTTTATGGAAAGTGCCGACGGTTACCGACGTCCTTACGCCGGACACGTTCATTGATTGAAACTATTTTGTTTGTACATAATACACAATGGGACTGAAGTTTTCCCAACTGATCTACGTCTTCTCCAAAAAAACCCATTTCAAAGATGATACCTCAACGATATCACATGACGATAAATTAAAACAGATCCATTCTATCTGAGATTGATGTAATCCGTCCCGAATGTTCTTGTTAGCATGACAACTCCTTTTATCCATCTTTTAAATATATATTAATAGCCTTAATGCCACTATACTAGTGAAATATATACTTGGATAAGTCCAGGTGCCCATGAATTACTAGTATTTCGACGTCACATCCGGGTCAGTAGACATGACGTCATGATATCAAGAGTTGGGTAGTGGCCGATCTAGAGTTGTCAGTGCATTGAAAACGGTATATTCTGTGTCATATAAGTTAATTCTTACTTTACATTCCCAAAAGGGAACATGTAAACTAAATATCATTTGAATGGGAAAGTCAGGCGTGTGGCAAATATGTCCGGATCTGCAGCGATCCCATGTCACTGTTTTCGATTATACAAAAATACTGTTCTTTGTACAGAGAGATACCTAGTATAGGTGCATATGATGATACCAAGAACAGGGATCTCCTCCATGTCTGCAAGTGCCATCCGCGTGGTTAATGTAACCTATGTAGTAAGGATTAGAGCTTGTGAATTTGAATTGCTCATCTTTTAGTTTGCAGCTATCGAACGTCACAATGCCGTCATTAGGAACAGCCAGGTTGCTGTAAGACTGTAACAGGAACATGACCACGCTCTCCGTGTAATCCGTTGTCAGGCCAATACTGCTGTTTCCGCACATCACCCCTGATACATACCTCCTTCCTACATCTGTCAGATTATCGAAGCCTATTCCAGTAGGTGATGCGTAATCAGTATTTAGGGTAGTGTAGACGTCGGATTCAGTATTTTCAGTAGGTTTACAGTATCCATATGCCCGCAATAAAGAACGGATCGGTGTTTGAAGCCACGTGGGGTGTCTGCAAATAATTGAAAGCGTATTGGCTTCAACAGTTCCCGTCCACGTGCCTTGAACGGAAAACCAGTGGCTTGTGGCCTGGTTGAAGGTACACTTTTGTCGGTGCAGTGCAGCTGCAACCACTAAATTCCCCATAGAATGTGAAAATATCACCGTGTTCGTTATAGTTCCATTGGTGGCAGCCACATCACAAAAGTGCTGGTGTATCTGGCCCTCATCCCAGCCATTGTCTTTGCTGTTATAGACAAGGAATTTGTGCGAAGCACAATTCGAAGTGTAATTACGTACGTCCCCCCAATATTCGGAGAAATCTGGTAGAACATCGTTACCAGAAGCATTATTACCAGCTCCATGTACAAACAAACACGTGGTGGGCGACATCCCGGAATCCCTTTTGGTTTTCACTGGAAGATGGTATTCTTTGCTGTAATTCTTTTGTCTGAGATCGCGACACGGGCCATTCAGTACATCTGATCTTATATGAATATTTTGGTTATCAGTTCTTGTCCAGCTTGTTATCGAAGCACGACGCTTTTGATGCATTACATACTCCAACTGATTGTCATTTGTGCAGATTTCAATGATATCCTGCTTGTATGTGGTATACCAGATGTCCCCGCGACATCCGTCTGACTGCTTACCTCTTGACCAACTGTCAACTGTCAAGATGTGCTGAAGAACATCTACCCATTTTGGCAGAGTAACGTCCTCGATACAGAATGCTACGGAACTATTAACGTAAGAAATACCGACAGTCGCTTTATCTTCTACCTTGATGAAAAACAGTTCGTAAAGGGAGTCGTCGTCCGATGAAAACACGTCAGTATGATGGAAATTCATTTTCCTTGCAGCCGGATTCCATTCGATTTTCAGAGATGTCTTTTTGGATCCAAAGTTATTACGTTCAGTTGTTTCAATGTCTAACGATGCGCTTAATGATACATCAAATACGTCACTTGGCTGTTTATCATCAGCTGAAGTTTTGGCAAACAGAATGCCAACGATCCCAAGCAGACACACAGCTGCTAAAACACACAACGCGAAAAAGTGGTATTGATTCATAGCTGTGCGCTTGTACACAGCAGAAAGCTTGATGCCTGAAGATTCACTTTAGAATCCTGATGTTTAGCTGATTCGTCAACCTGGGAAAAGATAATGTAATCTTTATTAATTGTCAGACTTTCTCTAGAAATAATTTGACGACACTTTGTTTTTATGGGATTATGGCTACTTGTTTATATTTTTTGGCTATAGTTGAAGAGCTTAGAAATTCTAGGTGTCTCAAATATACCCATAATATGACAAACTGCTTGGCAATTTTGCGTTATCAGCTATTCCAGTTTTTTTATTGATAAAATACTTCCATACAAATCATTTCCCGAGACGAACCATCATATACGAACACTCTCAAAATATACACTATTTGCTGAAACAGTGATAAGAATATATTTTAATGAATTATTGACCTTAGGTCATATGCCGCAACGTATATTATATTAGTTTTGAAATATGTAATATGTCAATCATCAAATGACTGCAAGAGTTGGGAATTAATTATAATCTTACGATATAGATTATATCTTAGTATTCTTAACTCGACTGGAAGTTGAAGGATGCTTATAGACAAATTTGCTGTCTTGATGAGAGAAAGAAAGAAGTGGGATGTTATGCAACGATTTCTTACCCAAAGCAGGATTTCTCACTGAGGTGAGAAGTCGCGTTTGGTGATAAAATCTGGCGTCGCAGGTTTTTTTAAGCTTTGTTATATGAAGGATATTTTACCTTAATTAACAAGGGACTGTTTTTGGGTCAAGAGTCAAGAAGAAGAAATTGAATAGATATTTCTTTTTTAGATATGTTCTAACATTTTAAAAATTGCGGAAAATTACTCCAAACTCTAAGGTGAAAATGAAACGTAACACTAGGTTTGATAGGGCAGTGTTGTGTTCTGCTTTGTGAAATAACTTGCCATCCAAATTCTTGATAAAATTGAAATCTTCTAGTACTTTGTTTCCTGTGTAAAAATGGTTTTGTAAAAGGAAATCCGTGTACTTGTTAAAAAAAGCTATAAACCTTTTTCTATAATGAGCAAATTACCTAAACAATGTTGGTTCGTTTTGGCTATTTCAAGTGTACTGTAAATTGGAAAATGCCATTTGGTTGGTCGTTCAGTAAAACTTTCGATTAATATTGCTAACATACAGATTTCTGGTTGACTTGCAGTGGAATTAAGATGTTGAATTTCAGGGTTAACAGTACTTGTCTTATGCATAGCTGTTATATGTTTTATGTTATTTATAGTAATTGTATGTTTTTTTTTATTTATTAATAAACTTTTAGGTTTTGCATGATAATTGTTTGTCTTATGTCATTTATAGGAATTGCATGTCTTATGTAATTTTTAATAATTACATGTCTTGTGTTATTTATAATAATTGTTTGTCTTTTGTTATTTGTCTTGTATTTTTAATATTAATGGTATGTCTTATGTTATTTATTGTCATTGTGTCTAATGTCATTTATTATAGTTATATGTCTTATGTTATTTACGAAATACCTGTATGTCTTATGTGTAATAACTAACTGTCTTGTGTACAATAACAATATCTTATGTATAGTAACTGTATGTCGAATAACTGTGTCTTTTGTAAAATAACTATGTCTTATGTATAATAACTATCTGTCTTATGTACATTAACTATGTGTCTTATGTACAATAACTATCTGTCTTATGTACAATAACTATGTCTTATGTATAGTAACTGTATGTCTTATTTATAATAACTATGTGTCTTATGTACATTAACTATGTGTCTTATGTATAATAACTATGTCTGATGTATATTAACTGAATATCTTATGTACAATAACTATGTGTCTTATGTAAAATAGCTATTTATTGTCATTGTGTGTAATGTCATTTATTATGGTTATATGTCTTATGTTATTTGTAATAACTGTACATCTTATACGTAACAACTGTATGTCTTATGTACATTAACTATGTGTCTTATGTATAATAACTATGTGTCTTATGTATAATAACTATGTCTTATGTATAATAACTATGTGTCTTATGTACAATAACTATGTCTTATGTATAATAACTGTATGTCTTATGTACAATAACTATGTCTTATGTATAATAACTGTATGTCTTATGTACAATAACTATGTCTTATGTATAATAACTGTATGTCTTATGTACATTAACTATGTGTCTTATGTATAATAACTATGTCTTATGTATAATAACTATGTGTCTTATGTACAATAACTATGTGTCTTATGTATAGTAACTGTATGTCTTATGTACTTTAACTGTGTGTCTTATGTATAATAACTATGTGTCTTATGTACAATAACTATGTCTTATGTATAATAACTATGTGTTTTATGTATAGTAACTGTATGTCGAATAACTGTGTCTTTTGTAAAATAACTATGTCTTATGTATAATAACTGCATGTCTTATGTACATTAACTATGTGTCTTATGTACAATAACTATGTCTTACAATGTATGTATAGTAACAATATGTCTTTTGTATAATAACTATATGTCTTATGTACAATAACTATGCGTCTTATGTATAGTAACTGTATGTCTTATTTATAATAACTATGTGTCTTACGTGTAATAACAAATTTCTTGTGTACAATAACTCTGTCTTATGTATAATAACTGTATGTCTTATGTATAATAACTCAGTCTTATGTATAGTAACTGTATGTCTTATGCATAATAACTATGTGTCTTACGTGTAATAACAAATTTCTTGTGTACAATAACTCTGTCTTATGTATAATAACTATGTGTTTTATGTATAGTAACTGTATGTCGAATAACTGTGTCTTTTGTAAAATAACTATGTCTTATGTATAATAACTATGTGTTTTATGTATAGTAACTGTATGTCTTATTTATAATAACTATGTGTCTTATGTACAATAACTATTTATTGTCATTGTGTGTAATGTCATTTATTATAGTTATATGTCTTATGTTATTTGTAATAACTGTACATCTTATACGTAATAACTGTATGTCTTATGTACATTACCTATGTGTCTTATGTATAATAACTCAGTCTTATGTATAGTAACTGTATGTCTTATTTATAATAACTATGTGTCTGTTGTATAATAACAATGTGTCTTATGTACAATAACTGTCTTATGTATAATAACTGCATGTCTTATGTACATTAACTATGTGTCTTATGTACAATAACTGTCTTATGTATAATAACTATGTGTTTTATGTATAGTAACTGTATGTCTTATGCGTAATTACTATGTGTCTTATGTATAGTAGCTGTATGTCTTATGTACTTTAACTGGGTGTCTTATGTATAATAACTATGTGTTTTATGTATAGTAACTGTATGTCTTATTTATAATAACTATGTGTCTGTTGTATAATAACAATGTGTCTTATGTACAATAACCATGTGTCTTATGTACAATAACTGTCTTATGTATAATAACTATGTGTCTTATGTATAATAACTCAGTTCTTATGTATAGTTACTGTATGTCTTATGCATAATAACTATGTGTCTTATGTATAATAACTATGTCTTATGTATAGTAACTGTATGTCTTATTTATAATAACTATGTGTCTTATGTATAATAACTATGTGTCTTATGTACAATAACTATGTCTTATGTATAATAACTATGTGTCTTATGTATGGTAACTATATGTCTTATGTATAGTAACTGTATGTCTTATGTACATTAACTATGTGTCTTATGTATAATAACTATGTGTCTTATGTACAATAACTATGTCTTATGTATAATAACTATATGTCTGATGTATACTTATTGCTCGCGACGTTCTTAAACTGGATAAGCGATCGATGATTCACGTGAAATTGCGCGATAATAGATAACAGCAATCTACCGGATTTTACATTAATGTACAAACAAATTGTTATTTATAGCAAAACTGCAATTATATGCATATAGATCAGTCTACAAGGATTACCCAAACACAGTTGTATATGCCATTGATCTAAGCGATCGTTTTTTTTTTGTTTTTTTTTGCTAACAAATCCGTTAGTGAAAGGGCTTAATATAAGTTATTTAACTTGTTCCCAACTCCCATTGAATATAAATTACAATAAATTATGTTTAAATCAAAACAAATCCGTCACTTTCCTTTCAAACAGCATAGTATCAGTAAAGACGCGCGTTTGTTATAACATTCACTTCGCTTGAAGTATTTGCTACGTCATTCCACAATCAAGTTTAAGTATCCATCAAATACCGTCATAAACACCACTCATAAATACACTTATGTAAGGCCAATAGGGAGTCAGCTAGCTAAGTGTTTGTGGTAAGGTTTTACAGAAGTAACGAGGTCAGACTTGTAACATGATGGGCCACATCAAACAGCTCGCAATAATTACGTGTAGCAATCCCTCACGCTATCGTCGTAATTTCACAATAGCATTGATGTCAAAATCTTTATGCTCATTAGGATATTACATGATTTTACTAGACATGTAAATTAGATGCAAAAAGTTTATTAAATATTTTTAATGGAAATATTGTGTAGTGTTTGTTGTAGTTTTATTTCCTTTTTCAAAACGTTATAGATATTTGTTTATCAACGATTCAACTTTGGTCACCAAATTTCTGTTGGTATGAAGTTTTATTAACAAATGTTAAACCTGCATACAAACAACCAGCCTTATATTAATCGATTTCTCCGTATTACATTAAGCTAGCTTATGGTGTTCAATCGCACCGATTTAGAAATGGTTAATACTGAGCCGCAATTTTGTGCTACAATACAAAATGCTTATAAGGAGTGCATTATCGGAAAATAAAGCAAAATATTTCTCTTCGCAGACATCATTCAGTTATTTAATAAATATAAATATGAAAAAAGTTTATGCTTTAAGTACATAACGTAAAGCATCAAGTTCAGTGTTACTTATAACACAACAATATAAATATATTTTGGAAGATGGGAAAACCCTACATATAAAGATTTAAAATGGTCTTAGACAAATGTAAACATGTTTAGAGTTTTGTATGGATATATAACAAACGACAATACAGAATGGAGATAAAAACAATAAAGGAAAAAATAATATACATTGTACAAGAAATCTGTCTTTATTTGTCTTACGATATTATAACATGATATACCTCATTATTTCTAAAGCAGGATTTGAAACAGGGTCCCGTGTTATCCCAATAAAATTTTGAAACAATTTAAGGCTACGATAAGAAAAGTTTTATGGAACTAGAAAAAATATGTGCAAGAAATGGTGTCTGATCTTGATACTTGACTTTTGAAAAAAGGATGCTGCCATGTCACAAGAAGCTTTACAGTTGAAAAAAAAAAGATTGAAATTATTTTTATTTTGTTTAGGTGATAAGCTTCATCTTTAAAACCGAAATCAAGGGCAATTAAATCACCTTTCAAAGTAATGATAAATAATGTTTTTGTGTTTAAGTCCTTGATTTAGCAACAAAAGGCACGTGTGTGTTACAGCGTGACAGTCTTTAAGTGTCTACCATGTCCTTAAGTCAAGTGTGTTTCTTAATCTTCTGAAGTTATAACAAACAGGCTGTTTTACAAAACCAGGATATATACACTTCTAGCAATTTCGAAGTTCCGTGTAAACCCGGAACTAGGGTTTTATCAAAGCACTTATCATGCATAAAAGTGAGTATTGTTAGATGAAGAACAAGTGACGTGACGATAAATCTCATAGATAAACTAGGAAGAGTACCGATACTGAAACAAACTCACACATAAGACTATGAAAGAGATATGTGAAAAATCGGTATAACGAATATTGACAAAATGTTCAAGCGGAAGGATCATTATCGTTTAATTATACAGGAACGTTCATGTAGAGAAAACATTTAGCTGCCTTTAGCTGTCTTTTTCTTGTCTTTCTCATTACCCATTCGCCTATGGCAAGCTAAGTTACCTTGATGATCTAATTTTATAATTAAGCCATTCGTTTGCGCTAGCATTTTTCACGTATTGTCTCTATGTTGTCTTCGTTTCACAACAAACTGGGTATTTCTTTAATTTCTGACCATGCGGTCGGTGATTCTATTTTGTTCATTTAACCTATATATATGTTGGAGGGAAACTTTACAGTCGCCACATACTATAAACAATGGCGTAATGCTTTATACGAAAATAAACAATCAAATTCTCAAATTTATCGAAATCGTTCGTGAACACATGAAATCAGCATTTGACAGATTCACAAACACTTTTTCAAGGCATCTTCGACTTAAACTCACGGAATAGCGGTATATTCTGACCGTGAGCCTGACACGTTTTAAGTAGATATAGAGGTAAAAACGAAACTTTCTTGCTGACTCGCTAGCAAATCATCAAACATATACCATAAAAAATGCCGGGACCCCTTTTTCGACAAATGAAACCAGTCTCGCTTGCGCGCTTGTCTACATTTGTGAGGGAGGTTTTTGATTTGGGAAGAGCGTTGCCCGTGCATGGTCTATTGAAATTTTTTACACGCAAGGGTATGGTCTGCCGTCCAATATATAAAACATGGTTATTAACCAACGAACAGGGTCGTTAGAACGCAAACTTAGTTGAATTCACGTTACATGTACATTGTATATGCAGAGAGCTCATTCAGGACATATATGGATGAGAAGTAATATGAGTTAATTGATTAACGTAACTGTTTTAATATTAAAACATTAAACAGCTACTTCGTATTACTTTTGTTTGGTACCCTATATCTCTCACTAAAAGTTCACCATATAAAAAGGTATAGTATTCTCCAACGGGAGATTATCCGCCCTTTGTATGTTTTATGCACACAAAGCGACCCTATGAGGTATTTAGTGTAAAAATAAAATGACGGAATATCATAAACCATGAAAGTAACCACAAGCCTTGGTTCACTAGTGAATGTAATGAAAAACAAAAGCGTATGACGATGCCAAGATTATGTGCAGAAACATCAAATCTCAGGTTAAATGAGACAGAAGAAAGGTAACAAAATTAGGTACGAGAGGAAAAAACATTGAAATTTCCGAAAATAAACTTGAGGGTAAAACCTCAGCTCAAATATTGATATATATATATATATATATATATATTTATCATATATTTTAAGATAATGCGTGAACGTTAAAAATGAAAATGAAACAATTTTTATCAACCATATTTCAGCATAATTTAGTGACGTCTTGAATGAAATTAAGAATATACATTGTAATATATTTGCACGCACATTTTAAATAAAAAAGTTAATTTCTAAAAAAAAGTAATTTCATAATTTTGGATTTCGTCTTGTTTCTCTCCATCAATGCGTTGAAAAACGGTGGTCATTACGATGATATGCAGTCGTCAATCTAAGCGTATATGATTCTATAACTAAATGTGAAATAATAGAAAAAAAGAGTCTTTGAAATAACAACTATTATTTTGACACCAACAAAATACCAGTTTTCAATTCTGACATCATTATTAATTACTACCCCAAGCAACGGAGAAAAAAATAGTACAGCTCGATATCATTTTGTTGCAAATAAATATGAATAAGTAAATGAATGAATGAATGAATAAATAAACAAATAATTTTTAGAAAAAATGGATATTTCCACCGAGTACCTCATAAAAGAAATGCAACGTTTTCTTAGCTGTAAAAAACTTTAACTATAAAACTATATGTGTACTATTATACTGTTTTCAATATTACTAATATTAATACTAATATATACTAAGAACATTTATTTCTAATGTCTAGTGTTATTGTAACATGATATTTTAAATAAAAAATGAATTAAAAATGTACAGAAAAAAACCTTACCTGTAAGTGTTTTTAAAATATGACAACAAAGTGGGCTCTTTACGGTATTAAGTCCCGGTAGACTACTCGTCAGGTGTTGCCAATCCGTTCTTCAATATGACCACGAACTCACCATTAACTTATATATATATGTCAAAGTCTTTTATCATTGGTTCACAAACTAACCAATAGGCGACGCCTGACGTATACAAGGAACTGTCTTAAGGGTCCTTGCTAATACCATCAAGCATCCCATTAGGTTAGGCTGCAGTAGCGTTCTAATGCATTCGATTGGTTTACACAATACCCAATGTACTTAGCTTAATACTTCTGAAGGAATCAAAACGTGCTATGTTTCCTTCAAAGATAAATTAATATGTATAGTAGTCTCTTAATAAAATAGCTCTCGTTCACTTTTAAAGCTTTATTCATTTTGTTTGTTTGTATGAAAGTTTCGAAACGTGTTTAGTATGTTTCTCGACTGTAATAGTTCTAAATGTTAATCTCCTGACAACTATATTCATCATTTAAAAACAGAAAACACCAGAAAATATTTCATATTTAATAAAACAGGATTTCCTTAATTTGCTCAATCAAAGGTTCACGATTAGCTATTTGATTGGTTGAAGACATAAACAACCTACCAATCGCAATGCTGATCATCAAACAAAGCATTACTCCGAGATTACAGGCCTACCGTATACTGGGACATTTTTGCTAGTTCGATTTGTGTGTTTTCGCTCTCCGCAAAAAGGACGAATTTATTATGACGACGAATATAAGTACACATCATACCCTATAAATGTATTGCACGTGAGGGAAGACGTTTACAGTGAAGGGCGAATATTTGATTGAGTGAAAGTTCCCCGGTATTCAGTAGTCAACTTGTGTAGTCCGTAAGGTGACTGACGCGAAAAGGGACTTTGATCATATGACAAAATTCGATAGTGCTGAAAAAAATGCGGTATGGAGAAGGTAACTTTTTGATTACGAAGATGGCAGGATTATACTTTTTGATTACGAAGATGGCAGGATTATACTTTTTGATTTAGAAGATGGCAGGATTATACTTTTTGATTAAGAAGATGGCAGGATTATACTTTTTGATTTAGAAGATGACAAGATTATACTTTTTGATTTAGAAGATGGCAGGATTATACTTTTTGATTTAGAAGATGGCAGGATTATACTTTTTGATTTAGAAGATGGCAGGATTATACTTTTTGATTTAGAAGATGGCAGGATTATACTTTTTGATTTAGAAGATGGCAGGATTATACTTTTTGATTTAGAAGATGGCAGGATTATACTTTTTGATTTAGAAGATGGCAGGATTATACTTTTTGATTTAGAAGATGGCAGGATTATACTTTTTGATTTAGAAGATGGCAGGATTATACTTTTTGATTTAGAAGATGGCAGGATTATACTTTTTGATTTAGAAGATGGCAGGATTATACTTTTTGATTTAGAAGATGGCAGGATTATACTTTTTGATTTAGAAGATGGCAGGATTATACTTTTTGATTTAGAAGATGGCAGGATTATACTTTTTGATTTAGAAGATGGCAGGATTATACTTTTTGATTTAGAAGATGGCAGGATTATACTTTTTGATTTAGAAGATGGCAGGATTATACTTTTTGATTTAGAAGATGGCAGGATTATACTTTTTGATTTAGAAGATGGCAGGATTATACTTTTTGATTTAGAAGATGGCAGGATTATACTTTTTGATTTAGAAGATGGCAGGATTATACTTTTTGATTTAGAAGATGGCAGGATTATACTTTTTGATTTAGAAGATGGCAGGATTATACTTTTTGATTTAGAAGATGGCAGGATTATACTTTTTGATTTAGAAGATGGCAGGATTATACTTTTTGATTTAGAAGATGGCAGGATTATACTTTTTGATTTAGAAGATGGCAGGATTATACTTTTTGATTTAGAAGATGGCAGGATTATACTTTTTGATTTAGAAGATGGCAGGATTATACTTTTTGATTTAGAAGATGGCAGGATTATACTTTTTGATTTAGAAGATGGCAGGATTATACTTTTTGATTTAGAAGATGGCAGGATTATACTTTTTGATTTAGAAGATGGCAGGATTATACTTTTTGATTTAGAAGATGACAAGATTATACTTTTTGATTTAGAAGATGACAAGATTTTCCATTTTTATCGATAGAGGAAATCACACCACTTAATTAAAATCTTACCAAATACAGGGTAATGATAAAGATACCGATCTCGCCTGGTTTTCATAAATAATGTTTTATCAACGGTACTGTTAGTAGTTTCTAAACCAAGATATTATCATAACCTCTTACCACCGGTTTTTAATTAGGTTTCATACGTAACGCCGTATATTCCATTTCCACCTTGCACAGTACAATAACTTATTCCAACTATACGCATTCGTTCTTTTATTATCTTATTTCAAGAAATGCAAACGAAACTGATGAGGATTATTCTCGGTTTTTGCAATACATGTATTTTGATGTTTGCTTTTTCAAATTGTATTCCCAATTGTATAACTAACACAAACGAATATAAAAGAAAATACGCCAAATTGAATAAATGTTTTTTTATTATTATTATTAAAGAAAAAAATATATACTACACAAAAAGGCCAATGGGCCTAAACGGTCACCTGAGTTGTAATACAATTGTGATTATACGACAAAAATAATATTACTCATAATTCTAATATGGCTTTTTGAGAGCGGATGCACTGACATGATGACGGCTGGAAGTGACCAAAAGATACTATGTATGTCTATATAGGGATATTGTCAGAAAAAAATGAAATAATAAAATAATATAATATAGTAAAATTTAATCCCTCCTCAGGGCAGAATCGTTGACCTGGGGGTTACTTTCTCCCTAGGGGAGAATTTGTGGTCTTGCGGATACCACTTAACTGCAATCACATGATAATAAGTCCAACCAAGTTTGAATTATTTCCCACTGAAAAGAAGAGTGACAATTTTGTTAAATCACTAAGGACCTCTCCGTCCATAAATTATTTTTATCCAATCAAATCTTGGTCTGGAGATGAAGATTGTTTAAATTTTAGCCATTTTGACTATTTTGTCAAGCCTCTCAGGCCCAAGGGGTGAATCAGGGTATTTATTAAATGTATGACATAAACACTTTTGGTGTACTTTTGTTTTAATGAAACCTCCCTGAAAAATTATTCTAATCATTTGAATGTTTATGGAGAAGAGGTCAAAAATGCGAATTGTTTACGGACGCATGACACACGACGACAGACAAAAGACGATTGTAATAGGTCACGAAGTCTCTGGTGACCTAGTTAAAACAAATATTATCATAGTTATTAAGATTTGCATGCAATACATATATTTTAATTAAGTTTAAATTACATATTTCGAATTGAAACACCTCGTTACAACAATCTAAGATTGTCGTTGTTCCAATCACTTACTCGTTAGAACAAGAAAGCGGTTTTTTTCTTTTAGCCACAAATAGCACAAACAACGTGATAAAAATGTCAAAGGATAACGTCAGGCTTCAACAATTGGTACAGTTTTGAGTTTTACAATGGTATCTAAAAATTAAGATCTTGTATCTTGAATGTTTCTTGATTCTTGACATAGACAACCCCTGGTGGTTCATTCTCAGGAAAAACAGTTTTGATTCAAAGTGATTTGTTTCTGAAAATAGAACGTTAAACTCGAAGTAATTATTTGTCCGGTTATTGTCCATGATTTGTTCCTAAATTTGTACACCATAGCACAGGTTATGAAACTAAACACAACATTTAAACATGCTTACTATTAACCCCTTCAAAATGCCCCAAAATTTCCTGGACGTACGACGTTTTTCCTGGGTTTTTTTTTGTAGTCTTTAAATGTTCCTGAAAACAACACTGTTCGATGGAAATGCTGATAAATATATCTTTTGTTATACTGTAAGAGGAAAATGCTCAAATTTAATTTTAAAGTACTATTCGAACCAATTTAGTATACCAATTGTGGTGGCGTGACGTTAATTAAATACTCCGTCAGAGGAGAATGGTATAATATAAACACAATAAAGTAATGGTATCGTTATGGAATAGCTATGTTGCCAAATTTGAATTGTTAGCAGTAGTGAGCAATATCATGTAATACTAACGGAATTGCAAGACAATTTTCAAAGAAATATTTCACCGTAACTACCCTGTTTAAAATTGCTTCTTAGCTCAATCTAAATTTTGAAATGTGTCTTAATATTGAAAATTGCACAATAACTAGATATTCCTGTAAGGAACCTTATTATTTTTACTTTACATTATTATTTGTGTATTTTTAATTTGTTTAGAGATTGTGAACGAAACATTTAGCCGAATATCACTATTCCTTTTTTTGTTTTCTTTAATAGCCAATTCTTCTCAGAATAACTCAACAAACTTTTTTTCAAATCAACATATTTCTCTATATACAACATATAACTTTTTATTTTAGCACTGTAAGAAGGCGGAGTGCGAGGCGCTATACCCACTTGACATACAACAGCCATAAACAGTTTGTTTCATTATAAAATATAGTTAGCATGCAGTGTACATGTAAAGTTAAAATATTAAATATTTACAGTTATACATAATAAATATACATTGATGGCATTTAAAACTCTTAAAGCAAACTGTATCAATCCGCGCTGTCGTGGAAACACTTTAAACATGTTTACATTATCTGTCTATCTATGATAAAGACTGATATCTAAATGTATTGATCCAATTGTTTCTTAACATGATAGACTCAACCTGTCTCAGGTAATACACGCATGGGTTATATATTTTGCCAAAAACTTTTACTCCGATCCATATTTGTGAACGTTATTGCACACAACTGTACAATGATGCACCAATATCTACCAGTTTAGCGTTAGCAGACAAAACACATCGTTTGAAGCTGAACATGCGTGTTAATTAGGATATCATTAATAATTACAGAAACAAATACAGATATACTGTATGATAAAATCAACATCTTCCAGTAATTACAGGCATATTATAGGTTAAAGAAAACTTGTATCAAAGCAAGCAAAAAATGAATAATGACAAAAATAAAAAAAATGGAATTTAATAAAAATATAAAGTGTTAAACTAGAACTAATTGTAATGTAGATAATAAACTTGAAATACGCAAATCTCATTGACTAATGACTGCGAGCCCAATAGAACACTTTTTCTCATTCTCCAGCTTATATTATATACTATTCAAGCGACAGAACGGAATAAAGAAATATATATCAAATATGGGACAAACATGACGTTGCGTCAAACGAATTGAGAAAATATAAAGACGGAAGATTTTGATGTAATGTAATTGGAAACTAAAAATGTGATTTATCCGCATTATCGGAAGAAAAGGGTTCATTTTTATTCGGATTTTAGCCAATTTGGGAAATTTTCGGGTAGAATATCCTATGTTTTACTCCTGTGCATGAAAGCGTCGTTTCACTTCCTCCCACATATCTGTTATTACAGGAATAATCCGTAGTGAATGGGCACACCGGTAACTACTAAAAAAAGTGTCAGTACATGGTTAGCAGTACATGTAGCAAGTGTTCTGTTGTACAAGTCTTACTTTATGAACACACATCTGTAGCCGCTACTCCGATTCCAACACATTTCTCAGTTACTGTATCAGTCTACTGATTAGATAATAATCCTCCTCAGTTAGTTGATGTAAACTTCAGTGGCCTCCAGGTAATCTTTGAGAATCGCATAGCAGAACTGATACTGGTCCTGTGAATGAACAACACCGTTACAGTTATCTCATCGTACATTATCACGGATCTCATGAAATTCTTAAATACAGAGGTCTTTACATTTTAGTTCTATTATTATACATATCTGAATATGGAAGTTGTCGGTCGCTTGAAAAATCCCTGTAGCGTACCTATGCTTGCTCTAGATCCAACACAATATGGAAAGCATAACACCATCTTCCATATCCATAAGGGAGGATATACATGATTGAACGGAATGTTTGAAATTATCATATTGGAACTATACAGATAAATAACATATCCCACGAATCGTGTTACTAGTATGCAAATTACAAATACAAACTGTTCAATCTGTTTGCTTCCAGAATTAGAACAGCTACTGGTAATTTGATACAAATGTTCCTCTGTTTTTACTTTGTTCAGTTTTTGTACAGCCAAATGCAAGATAGTCAGATAGAAAAAAAACAACCTCACACTATTAATCAATTGATCGATTGATTTTAAACTATTCACAATTTTATTTTAACGATACTACTTAGCGTCACATTGGCATATGTTTAAAGATAGTGTCACAGCCAAATCACGTAACACCAATAGCGTTTACGATACTAACGGCTGGTTCATATAGTGAATATACAATGCCAATGTAAACCACATGACTTAACGTTAGCGGCTAATGTTAGTTAAATGTCTTAACATGAATATATCAGACGTATCACGTTTGGTATAAAGATATGCAAATAAGATAAAAAAAAAATCTGAATCATTGACTTACAAACGAGCTTAGAAACTCTGGTCGTCTGAGGAGAAGCTGTCGTGCGGCCTTAAATACATCAACCTCCTCGTCCATCTTTAGCTGGTCCCGAGTGTTTGCCATGAGGCAAAATAGCCCACACTGTGTTGTTCCATCTCTGTCAGATGCCGAAGTTATTGATTATTAAATGAATATATAATACAGAACTACCAATTACAGATCAAACAACCAGAGACAAAGTAGTTCATAGTGTCTCTTTCAATTGCTATCAGACAGGTATCGCTTTGAGAATGAACTAGTATTTCAGAAGACTCTAGTAAACCAACAATCTACATCAGTAAAGTTATCGCTTTGAAAATGAACTATCATTTGAGAAGACTCTAGTAAACAAACAATCTACATCAGTAAAGTTATCGCTTTGAGAATGAACTAGCATTACAGAATTATTAAGGAAGTAAGTGCGTGAATTCATGCAATATTATTCTATAATTATTCAAATTTCGGGGAGACTGATGTGGTTAAATATGAAATGATGTAATTGAAAAAACTCATCGTTGGAACAAAATAAGGTTTTGATACATTTCAAACATATTACATCCAAAATGACATATAAATCATTTATATCACGACAGCCTTGAAACCTATATATTTATAACTCACCCGCACGTCACTATAACAGGTTTATTGTCATTAGACCGACGCCTGCTTTCCACCTGCTCAAGAAGATGAAGGATGGATTGTTTCGACGGAGGAACCTCCATTGTCCATTCCTTCATTTGGAAAAGTCTTGCACTATGTGCAGTTTTTTCATTCTGTAATGTTTATATCGTGACTTTACAAAATTATGTTAATTTAAATTGCACAAACTTACTGTTATAATTGAAATAGGCAAAACTTGCAATTCATCATGAGAATGTTTACAATTGATATTCAAATAAACAAAATAAAATAATAAATTAACAACTTTAGAAATGCATCCAGACATCCTTTTCTTATTCTGACCAATGCATACTCTACTACAACGGAAGAGCTTTCATTATTATTTGCATAAAACAAAAGTTTACCTTCCGATTTACTAATACATCAATCACATCCACGCCATTGACCTCCGTCGATGTCCCATTTTGTTTCACGTTGAAGTCATTGATGCTAACATCTTCTTCGTCGGCAGGTATCCACTGTGCAAGCTGCCAAATGATGAATGAACTCAATGAATAAAAAAATATGTTCATTGTTAAATGAATCCTATATATTACATGCAGATATGGAAAAAATTGTCGCACACCAACGCTTAACATGCAGTGCACCTGCTAAACGAGTGATACAAATAGGACATGCCACATTAATCATTACTATCTCTCATTTTCATAACTATCTGTCCCACATAAAATCCGTTTCGAATAGTTTCCTCTACAAACAAAACCTTATGTAAAGTATATTATTGACAAAACGTAATTTTGGAAACAAAATAATACAAAAGATGAAACAAGGGAATAAACAACACTGTTGGTAGTGTATCAGCCAATGTCTGGAAGACCGTAGGTTCGAACCCCGCAGGCAGTAGAGTGTGGTGATGCCCTTCATAGAGGCCCGTTACGCTGGCTGTATACTTACTATTGAAGTTGGGTTTGGATAGGGGTAAAAGGGTTTGAAATGATGTATTCGGAATAAGATTCACCAGTTTGATATGAATAATAAAAACAAAGTTTGTTTTGAACACAAACAGGATATTTTTCTAAATTCCTGTTTGTGTTTTACACAAGCCTTTATGATATGATGAAATATTCAAATGGTATGGCGCTATATAGAAATACAGATCCGAAACGAAACGAACACTCATTGCATTTTGAGTAAGACATCACTGACATATGCTTCTTACGACAATTATTTGGAATTCCATTTTTAAGTAAGGCGAGTCATTTCTCTGAAAATATAATATAATAAATATATACGAGTTTAGTTACTTAAATTTCTTCTTATTCTTGATTTGATTTATACGTAATATACAAGGTTTAAGCTTGCCTGTCTGGGGTCTCCTAGTATGACGACAGTGTCAGATTTGTAGTCCATCACTAGGGTCCAAAAGTCTGCTCTTGTGTCCGCCAGGGGAAACTGAGTGACTATGTATCCTTGCTGGCCAGTGTAGGACTGAAACAGTGTAATGCATTTCGTTAACATTCTTATTCTCTTGCAACTGGATGAAAGGTGTAAGTTTAGTCTAGTAAATTTTGATTTGACAAGTACAAATAAAAATATGTTTGTTAGGAGAAATGTTATATTTATTCTTCGGTGTTCTTCGCTGATGTTTGATGTAAACAAATAATTTTTCAATATCGATTCCATTTACAAAATATGTTATGAACTTGTGATTTTTTTTTATATACAGAGTGACTTACCTGTGTTTTGACAGCATTGATATAATCGATGCTATTTGAAGCGTACGACTTCAGGCAGGCTCTAAATCTGTCCACTGTAAGTAAAATCGTTCATAACATGAACTCACTTATCATTGCTTCATCATCAGAATTCAAACTAAAAGTTATTAAGCATAATATCATGCATTGCAAACACCAAAGGTAATGAAAAGTTATAACATGTTTTTCTAATTTTCCGAAATAGAGAACAATCACTGTCTAGCGTGTACATTAGGATTTCTATTTAGATTGTATTTTCAGAAACAATATTAAAATTGTTCTTATTACAATGCGCCTCCATATTCTAATTCAATTGTTTTAAGTAATAACCGTGTTCATGAACTTAACTGTTTTACATAAACACAAACCGGTTTTACTACTAGCAGCGGGAAATGCTGAATTTTGCATTGTGAATGATATCGTTGAATAGGGTATGCAATAAGAAATTCAACTGTAAGCTACACACCTGCCAATATTCGCATTGCTCTGTTTTTTGTTCTGTTTTCGGGAAGTAAAGAAGCTCGGAAGTCCTTTTCTACTTTGTAATCAGGCTTTTGGTCCCACATCAACTGAAAATTAACATCGATTTTTAAGAAATTATCATTACAAGTGTGTTCACGCGACTTATGCAACAAGGATATAAGAAAATGTCGTGAAAAAGTAATAAAAGAAGGTAGTTTTTGAATTTCAAGTTACACATTTCATCATAACATGCCTTTTTCACATGATGCCTCGTTTTCATTTCACCATGATGTAGTAATTTCGCGACGTGACATAT